TTTAGACTGTTGCTGCTGCAACAGTGAACAGTGTTGACTGTTTGCATCTGTTAAGTATGTAATGTATTGTTTCAACTTTCAATTTCAAACTTAACTTGAGTTTAGTATGTAGTGTTTCAATTTCAAAGTTTAGACTGCTGCTGCATCTGTTAAGTATGTATTGTTTCAATTTCAAAGTTAAGTAAGTATGTACAAACATTGTTGACTGTTTTTTATTGTTTCTGACTTATAGATTTTAGATGCTATAAATCTATAGCATCTGGTGTTTAGTATGTATTGTTTCTGACTTTCTGTGTGGCGTTAGATTTGTATTTGTGTATGGATAGAAAATTATGCATGTGCTGCAACTTCAAACGTTGCTGGTTTCAATTTCAAACGTTGCTGGCTTGCTGCAACAATTATGCATCTGGACAGTGCACTGTTAGGACTTAGGCGTTAGCTAAATTTTAGCGATTATTAAACCGAAACCGTACCGAACCAAAATAAGAAAAACCGAACCTTACCGAAATATTTTGGTATGGTATTTGGTATACACAATTGATAAACCGAATACCGAATTACCGAACCGAAATTATTAAATACCGAACCGAAGTACCGAATGCCCACCCCTAACTGGGATTAGAGTTAATCCTTAGGTTTACAAAGAGTTTTTGTAAATGTTGTTTTGGCTCAGTCATTTTAGTGGAAGTTTGGGAAAATCCTACTGAGTAGTAGGTCGTGGTTTTTTTCACCTTTTGAGCCAGGTGTTTTCCACGTAAAAATCTCTGTGTTCTTTAGTTTATGCATTTATTATTCCGCAAACTGCAATAGTTAGAACACCTAGAAGAACCAGGTTCTTCTAGAGCGAAAATTGGGTACCACACAAATCACCCCCCCTCTTGTGTGGTATTGACGTTTAGAACATCAATTGGTATCGGAGCAGGTTATCCTTGAAGAGGTTAACACCTTAGTAAAGATCAACATGAGTGCACCACCTGGAAACTGGGAAGGGCAATCCACTGCTAGGCCTCCACTTTTCAATGGTCTCTACTACTCCTGGTGGAAGAATAGAATGAGAGACCACATCATGGGCGAAGACTATGAGCTCTGGGACATCATCACTGATAGTCCTCTAGCCACAACAAAGAAAACTGCTGAAGGATTGGATGTTCCAAAGACAAGAGTTGATTGCACTGCTGAAGACTTAAAGAAGTGGGAAAGGAATGCTAAGGCCAAGAAGTGGCTAGTATGTGGACTTGGTCCAGATGAGTACA